CCTGAGTAGCTAGAATCACAGGCATGAGCCACCGGCACCCAGCTTTCTGGGACATATTTATGCTTATTGCTAATGTAGGACATCCTCCACCTAAAACATCAAGTTTTTTTGTCTTTTTTGGTCGGTTGTCGGGCTTGAACTCTGGGCTTGGGCGCTGTCCCTGCACTCTTCAGCTCAAGGCGAGAGCTCTGCGCTTGAGCCATAGCACCACTTCCAGTTTTCTAGTGGTTTTTATTGGAGATAAGCGTCTCACAGACTTTCCTACCCTGGTTGGCTTTGAACCGAAATCCTCAGATCTCAGCCTCCTAAGTAGTAGGATTACAGGCATGAGCCACCGGTGCCCCGTCCTTGTGAGACTCTTATCTCCAATTAACCACCAGAAAACCAGAAGTGGTGCTGTAGCTCAAGTAGTAGTATGCTAGCCTTGAGCTGAAGAGCTGAGGACAGTGCCAGGCCCAGAGTTCAAGCCCCACAACTGACCAAAAAAAAAATTTATAAATTTTAAAAGGTAAGATAATCACTAAAACCTAAGTTACATACCTAGTCAAACTATCCGTTAAATGTGGGGATCACTGGATGCTGGTGGCTCACTCCTGTAATCCTAGCTACTCAGGAGGCTGAGATCTAAGGATCTCGGTTCAAAGTTAGCCCGGGTAGGAAAGTCCGTGTGACTCTTATCTCCAATAAAAACCACTAGAAAACCGAAAATGGTGCTGTGGCTCAAGTGGTAGAGTTCTCGCCTTGAGCTGAAGAGCACAGGGACAGCGCCCAGGCCCAGAGTTCAAGACCCATAACCGACCAAAAAAAAGGAAAAAAAAAAGAAATCAACTGTCTACTTTCCATGTTACGCAAGGGAAGGGAAGGAGAGGGAAGAGGAAGGGAAAGGGATGGGAGGGGAGGGGAGGAGTGGGAAAGAAAAGGAAAGGAATTGCTGTCTACTTCTGTGTTACATAAAGGGATTTAATAAAAATATTTATGGTAAAGTTTCAAGAAACTCAAATCCAGAGCAATCCCAGACTCTGCAAGGAGACATTGCCCCAGAGCCCAACTCTGTTTCCTCTGTGATATTTTGGTGTAGGTAATGACGATCATTTTTCCTTTCTCAGTCTCTTCTGCATCTCCGCCTCGCTGGCCAGCCTATCTACTAGCAGGGCTAGGGCCAGCCTCTCTCTGGCCGCCTTCACCTTCTTTTCCTGGATCTTTATATCTTCCTCGGTGACCAGAAATTCTCTGCAGAGGAACGGTGGCACACGCAGCTCCGCTTTGGCCGGAATCATCTCCACAAAGGGCAACGATGAGGCCTGACCAGCGTGAACACCTGCCATCCCGGCTTGGTCGAGCAAAGCACCTGTGCCTGCCGCGATGTGTTTCTGCAGAGCTTTGACCAGATCCAAAGTACTTAAAAGATCACCCACACTGCCGTAGGCCTGGACTCCTTGAAGCCTGTTCTGCCAACACACCTGTTGGGGTTTCTCTAAGTTCTCCTCCCAGTGGTCGAACCTAACCTCGTTGTCCGGATATGATGTAATTTTAGTGACTGGCCTCTTAAAGGAGTGACTGGACATCCGCAGGGGGATGGAGAGGCCTAAGGAGGGCTTTGGGTCAGGTGGGTGGGTGCAGTCATTTGGCTTCCTCTGAGAAATCTTCGCCATCAGATTCCTCCTCTACCCCTATAAACAGACAAGTTGGGAAGTTGGATGGGAAATCATCAGTGATCGCTGGGTGATGGGGCTCATGCCTGTGATCCTAGCTACTCCAGGGACTGAGATATGAGGATCCCAGTTCAAAGCTAGCCCAGGAAAGAAAATCCCTGGGCCTCATCTCCAATGAACCAGCAACAAACAAGTAGAGTGGAGGTGTGGCTCAGGGATATCTTGAACTCAGGACCCCCCACCTCTCTCTCTTTGCTGGTGCTCTCCACTTGAGCCACAGCTCTACTTCCAGCTTTTTGCTGGTTGATTGGAGATAAAGAATCTCAAAGGCTTTCCTGCCCAAGCTGGCTTTGAACTGCAATCCTCAGATCTCAGCCTCCAGAGTAGCTAGGATTACAGGTGTGAACCATCAGTGCCAGGCTTCATTAATCTCTTGTCATATGTGTGCTTTAAGTACTTAGATCATAGTCACCCCCTTTTATCCTCTTCCTTGGCCCTTCCCTCTCCTCACTGGCTCTCACTTCCAAACAGCCCTTGCTTCACAGCTCTAGATCCATATATTGATAAAACATCTGTCCTCAGTCCGGATCATTTTGCTTTAACATAATGATCTCCAGTTTTCTCTATTCTTCTACAAGTGACATCATTTTTCATGGCTGAATAATACTCCATTGTACTTATGTACCATGTTTTCCTTATTCCCTTCTAGTTCATCTATCACTCTTGGGCATATACTCATTCTTTGTATGTGTTGGCATATTGAGTTTCCCCAGATCCTGGATTGGATTTGCTCTGCTTGCTTTTACTGTTGTGTTTTCTTCATGTACAGTCCAATCCTCTTTAAATGTCTGTGCTAGTTCAATGGGAAATTGTAAACTACTAGGTTGAAACTGGGGGAGGGGGAGGGTTCTAGTGGTTGAATCAGTGATAATCTCCCAATGATTCTCATGTTTCCCTCCAGTTAACTGAGATTTCCTTGAGTCTCCAATTGGGATGAGTCTCTCATTCCTTCTTACAGCCTCAGGGCCTCCATATTCCAACAGAGTGCTACTTTTTCCTCTTCTCCTGTTCCCACCCAATGTCCTTCCTAATTTAAATATGCCTACATTTCTCCCTACAACCTGGAGATCACATTGGCCCCACCTTCCTGTGATCTCTCTCCAGCCACTTCCTTCTTCCCAGTCCGCTCAGCCCAAAACCCCAGAGGTCAGGCCCCTCTACCTCATCTTTCTCTCATCTCTTACCTCCTGCCAGGTCTGCAGATCAGGACAACCTTCCATCTCCAACCTTCCATCTGCACATCACCATTCCACAGCTGCTTCCCCACCCCAATAAGGTCACAATGGCCCTTTATTGTTGTTAGATCCGAAAGGAACTATTCATCTGTCAGCTGACACCATCTTCAAGGAGAAAGCTTTCATATATATTTGGAGTGACCTGAATTCTGCTTTACATTTGTGGATCTTTTTTTGTTTTTTTAATATGTGTGCTAGTCCTTGGGCTTGAACTCAGGACTTACGCACTGTTCCTGAGCTTTCTTATTTTTGCTCAAGGCTGGTGCTCTACCACTTGAACCATAGCTCTACTTCTGGCTTTTTGGTGATTCATTGTAGATAAGAGTCTCAGGGAGTTTCCTAGCTGGGTTTACACCATGATTCTCAGATATCAACTTCCTGAGTAGCTGGGATTATAGGTGTGAGCCACCAGAACCCAGATACATTTGTGAATTCTGTAAACTCTAAATATGGAACAGGTATATTTGAGAGAGGGATGGAAAGAATAAAACAAAAAGGAGGAAGAATGAGGAAAGAGAGGACAGAGAGAGATAGGAAGGAGGAGGAAATAGGAAACGGGAGGGAGAAGAAAGAGGAAGAGGTAGAAATAAAGACATAAGACATAAGACACAAAAGGATAAAAAGAAGCTAGAGGCTGGAGACTGATGCCTGTCATCATAACTATTCAGGAGGCTGAGATCAAGAAGATCATAGTTTGAGGTCAGCCTGGACAGAAAGTCCAAATCAAATAGCAAAAACCAGAGCTGGGGGCATGGCTCAACACTAACCAGGAACAGATAAGCTGAATGAGTTCTAGCCTTTGAGTTCAAACTCTAATACCAGAGGGAGAAGGAGAGGGAAAGGGGACACAAAACAGGAAAGACATATGTCCAAACTGGTGATCCTCAGCTTTCATCCTCACTACTCATCCCTAGCCTTGAGAGGCATCCCAAAGAAGGCTGAAGTCAGCACAGAGCTCCATGATCTGAGGTCTAGACTTGCATCCAACTCTTCACGGAGACCTGCCTCCTCTGCCAAGTTCATGGCTCCAGACAGGGGCCATCCCAGACCTCCTATCATGGCCACAGAGAGCGCAGGAACCACACCCTCTGTACCTAAAGTGACAAGAGTTCTCTGTGTACGTTCCTGAGTAGCTGGAGGCACCAGTGCCCAGCTGTGGCAGGATGTATGATTGGTTCTATTTACACACTGTTAAGCTGGTGCAGATAGTGAGGACCCCAGCTCCCCACTCTAGGGCTCCTCACTGCCTACATCAACCTGAACTCCTTCAAATACGGATACCATGCTGGAACTGTAGAGGTTGGAGCTGGGATTAAGTCCAGCAAGGGCCTGGCAAGCCAGGGCACAGAGAAGCCTCACTGTCTGAATAACTAGAATTGGGAGGTAATTTGGTTTCTCAGGAAAGGCAGGAGGCATCAACCGAAAGATGACTCAAGACAATAACCCTCATTTCCCCTCCTTCCCACGGGTCAATAAAATAACACTCCATGCACTTTATTTGTCATGTCCACTCTCACTCCCTTTGGCCATCCCCTCCCTCAAACACAGTTAAAATGCAAGTTTTCTGAGGGCAGGGAATTTTATATTTGGTTCCATAATCCCAGGATCTGAAACTGTACCTGAGGAGAAGCACAATGGGCATTAATTCTAGCATATACACAGGCACAAATACACACACACATACAAGTACCCTGCGTGTCTGGAAGGCAGAGGAGAAATCAGTTACCTCTGGGTAAAGGACTAAGAGGGATCCCTACACAGCCATCCCTGGAGTTAAACGCCCCCCACGCCCCGCCCTTATCAAGCCACGCCCATATGAACCGCGCCCAGTCCCGATAAGCCCAATTCTGGTCTCCATCCATTACTGGCTCCGCCCCCGCCTACCAATAGCCCCGCCCCGAAACACTGGTCCCGCCCCGGAAGTGGTCTTCGCCCCCAACCCTGGCCGGGCTCTCCCGTGCTGAAGTAACCCAGGGCCTAATCTCACTCTTTCTGAGTAAACCCAACAACTGGACCTGAGGAGGAGGCACGGCCGCCGCCCGTCATCACCTTCCCCGCCTACCCTCGAGTCCCCCAACGTCTCCCCGCGACTGACAGCCAGAGCCGGAAGTTGACAGCGGGGAGAGCCGCCCACGGCTGGCAGCGGAAGCGCGGGGCGGTCGGCGGACAGCCCTGTGGCGACCAGAGCGGGTGGACGCGCTGCGAGCCCCGGGTGGACCCGGACGCGGTGAGCGAGAAAGGGGGAGGAGGGGCGTGTTACCCCAGGCCGCCGGCTCCGCGTCCCCGGGTCCCTCCCGGGAGCCCCGGTTCCTCCCGCTGAGGCCTCAGGCGCTACTCGCCCTGGTCCGCCCGGGTCTCCTCCGCTTGGGACTCGGCGCTGCCCTCACCCGGGGAGTCTGCACCCCGGAGACTGAGAGCACTCCAGGGGGCCAGTCTGCACCCCGGAGGGTGTGTCTGCACCCCGAGGGGAGTCAGCCACCCCCAGGGACCCTGGCCAAGCCTGGGGACATTGCTTGTTATTTAGCCAGTGCAAACCCACCCCGCCCCCCAGCAAAGAATTTCGGCAGTGCAAAGTTTGGAAATTCCACTGTCAAGTTTTTTTTAAGTGTCAGGTTCTGGGAGAACTATGTAAACTGTGTTGGTGCAGCGCCCTCACTGCTAAGGCCTCTAAGTGACGAGTTTGCAGCATCTGATATCACCCTGGGCTCTCTCTCCTCCCAGCCAAAGGAGTTGAGCAAGTCAGAAACACAGCCTTCAGCTGCTCTCTGCTGTCCTCAGCCCGGGCCTGAAATAAGGATACAGGTTGATCCATTGTAACAATGAGGCCTGATGTACAAGACACAATGTTGAAAACGAACTTTACAACTTGGTGGGGGGATGGAGGAGTTGGAGAGGTGGGGAGGAAAAGAATGGTAGAGGGAAAACAGGAGGTAACAAAACTCAATAGGAAATGTACTCATTACCTTACTCATGTAACTGTAACCCCTCTGTACAGTATCTTTACTATACACACACACACACACACACACACATACACACACACACACACACACACACACACACACACACACACACAAGGATCAGGAAAGTCCTGTCAGGCAGTGGGCTTCTATTACATCATACTAAACATCACACAGGTAATATAAAAAGAATAAAAGTTTTTTCCTATTAAAAACTCATTACTACCAATTAAAATGTCAGAAGTCACCTTTGTACATTTCATTTTTCAGGTCAAGGAGCTCATCATTCAAGCTCAGATTTGTGTTGAAGCCAGGGCTCACTGATCTAAGTTTCATGTGTCCAGGTAAGGACCATACAGAACTTGGATTGTTCCAAGAACCTGAGAACTGGCTTTGCTTGTGCTGGAGCTATAACTATGAGGAGCTATAGGCCTGAAGGTTGTGTGTTTGTGTGTGTGAGCTTGCACCCATCCTGGGACTTGAACTCAGAGCCTGGGCACTTTGCCTGAGCTTTGGTGCTCAAGGCTAGTACTCTACCACTTGAACCACAGCTCTACTTCTGGATATAGATAAATGGAGATAACAGTCTCATAGATTGTCCTTTCTGTGCTGGCCTCTAACAATGATCCTCAGATCTCAGCCTCCTAAGTAGCTAGAATTGCAGACATCTGTACTGATACCAACAGTTTGGTTTTGGTTTTTTAAACAATCCTACAGATAGACTCCAGGACCTTATATACACCAGACAAGTGCTCTGCCTCAAAGCCACATCTCATTGCCTTATTTCTATTTTCTTTCTAGTTTTTATATACTCTGTGTGTGTGTGTGTGTGTGTGTGTGTGTGAGAGAGAGAGAGAGAGAGAGAGAGATTTGGATTTGAACTCTGCGCTCTCGGTGAGCAAATGCTCTACCTCCTGAGCCACACCCCAAGTCCATTCTGTTTTCTAAGCCCACACCCAGTTCATTTCTTGAACTAGGGATCTGGGTTCTGTCTCTGAGCTCTTTTGCTCAAGGCTACCACTTGGACCTCAGCTCTACTTCCAGTTTTTTGCTGGTTAACTAGAGATAAGAGTCTCAAGGACTCCTTAGCTAAGCTGGCTTTGAACTGTGATCCTAGGATCTCAGCCTCCTGAGTAGCTAGGAGTACAGGTGCACATCCAGCATCTAGCCACTTTTCTGTCATTTTTCAAATAGTCTTTTGGTTTTGCTTACATCTGGCCTCAGACCTCAGTCCTCCAACCTGTGGCTCCCATGTAGCTGGACTCACAAGTGTGGGATTACCATGCCCAGCTGTTCTTTGAGATAGAGCCTCACTTTTTGCCTGGACTGACCTCAAACCAGCATCCTTTTTATTTGCATATCCCAAATAGCTGGGATTACAGACAAGATTCACTGCCATCGCTTTCCTTTTACATTCTTGAGATAATAGTTGCCTACCATGGAATGCATAGTCTTGGGTTACAGAATTTAGGATGATCAACTGCCTCTATTCACTCAGGACAGAAGGCATACAGTGTTCAAACTAGAGCAGGCCTAGACAACCAGGGCATTCCATGGCTTTGTAGCTCCCTCCTCCAACTTTAAAGCTATCACAGTGCCATTCTCAGATCTCTCTCCTTTTTTCTCTCTCTCCTTCTATCCCTCACCTTCAAAACACCTGCTTCCCTTGACTCTCCTCTTACAAGGACCCTTAGAATGCCATCTGTGTCATTCTAGGAAAGCATGTGCACCTGATTAAGTCTTCCATCTGCAGAGGAAGGACACACTCACACAGGCCTGGGACTAGAACTCAGGTGTGCACCTTATTGGTGGCAGGAAGTGGTTGCTTACCTGTCTTCCCAGAAGTCCAGGAGTCTGTGACTGTTTCTCCATGTGGCCCAAAATCCACTGTTGGGGTCCAAGCCCATTCCTGCACCATGTTCCCTCCCTCCTTGATTTCTTCTTTGGGACACACAGAGCTCACCAAGACCCCAAGAAGCTGGTCTTACAGGGCTGTATTTTGTCCTGTGACTACATAGGAGGAAGCTCTCCGTATACACTGTTGTTCCTCTACTGTGCATGGTTCCCCTTAAATTGACCAGAGGTGATTGTCTTCATCAGTAAAGATTTTTGCAGGTTTGTGTTTGTCTTACTGGTTACATGTTTCTCCTCTGGAGAAAGCCCATGTTTCCTTTTGATGGCCACAGGATTGGCCATTGTTATCTGTTCTAAGTAATGCTCCAGTGAAATAATGCCACTGTGAACATGTAATGCCCCAAAGAACAAGTGAAGTAATGCCACAGTGAACAAGTCCACATATGCTTCACCAAGGCCAGGAATCAGGAAGAGGAGGGCAGGCTTCTGTAACTTTGTTCAGCCTTGCACCTGTCCTTGGGCCCTTGTTCCCAGAGGCTGTGGTCCCCTGGGCTTTGCTGACAGGACATGTGAAAATAGCCACTGTGGTGGAGCACAGGGGACTGCCGGAGCTGCCACGTTGTGGTCCTGGAGGTAGCGGTGGCCAGGTGTGAGGAGCTAGTGGAAGATGAGGGGAAGAGACAGAAACGTTGGCTGGGTGAGGAAGAGGCCAGGCAGTGAGGGAAAGAAACCCCTGCTTGGAGCTGGGGGTGGCGGCCCCCCTCCCCTGTCATCTTAGCTGATCCAGAGGCTGAGATAGGGAGGATCACAGGTTGAGGTCAAGCCACAAGGGAGGTGATTTGCTCTGTTGTTGTGTAAGACCCCTACACCTTAGTGAAGCCAACAGTAACCACTGGTTTCTCTGACAGCGTTTGTGGGTGAGGAATTCAGGAGTGGCTGGGGAAGATTCTGATTTGGGAACAGCCTGCAAGGGCTACACATCTGAGGCCTACCATCTCCTGGAAATCACCCCCAAGGTCTCACTCACGGGGGCCATGGGCCTGGGCAGTGCTGCTAAGTATTCTCCCCACAGCTGCCCCAGAGCAGCTGCAGAGCCTTCCAGCCCTTTCCTCAGGTTCACCCCTGAAAGTGACTTAGAGCTACTGAGGCAGAGGCTGCCACAAGCAGAGTGGACCTAGGCTATGGAGAGCAGGCCTAAGGCCCTGGGTGAAGGTCTCTGCCCTCACCCAGAAAGATGGGCCTTGGTTCCAAGTCTGCAGGGACCACTTGTTCGGTGTGGAGTTGGTGCTGTGACTTGGTAAAGCCAAGGTCTTCGAAGCCAGCAGGGCAGTGATAGTCACTGCTAGTGTCACGGACATGGGTGGGCTGTGCCATCCTTCGTGTGTGTGTGTGTGTGTGTGTGTGTGTGTGTGTGTGTGTGTGTGTGTGTGTGTGTGTGTGGTGTGTGTGTGTGTGGTGTGTGTGTGTGTGGTGTGTGTGTGTGTGGTGTGTGTGGTGTGTGTGTGTGTGTGGTGTGTGTGTGTGTGTGTGCGCATGCGCCGTGCACGCACACACGTGAGCGGCAGCACAGGCGGCCATGTGGATGTCCTGTCTATTCTAGGGGTGTCCCTGGGGGTCCCAGGACGTCTTCCCTCCACCTCTGCCCTGTGGTCAGTAGCTCTGCCATCGGAGTCGCAAGATGACAGCTGCAGTCCTGCTCCCAACTTGTGGTGAGACTCTGGGTGCTTGAAGGCCTAGACCCCCAAGAGAGGCCAGATGGGGGCTAAGTAGGAGGCAGGACAACAGCACAGCAGCCCCCAAGACCACAGGGCTGGAGAGCGATCTTAGGCCTTGGACTTGTGTGGTGGGTGTCTGCGATGAGCCAGCTCTGGAATATGTCAGACCTTCTGAAAGGGACCCCCCATGGGCCCCTGGAAACCTGTTCCCCCTCTGCCCAGTAGCAATGACCTGCTCCCAGGGGTGTCCAGGATTTGCACAGTTTTATAGCTGGGTTTCAAAACATCAGGTGGAGGTTGTGCCAGGTTGGAGGTGTGTGCATGTGTGAGTAGGGGAAATGAGTATGTGGGGCTGAATGTGGGGGTCAAGGGGAAGACAGTAGGGGTAAAGAAATGAGTTGAGTCACAGGTGAGGAGAGCAGTGTCAGAACACAGAGCAGCTTAGAGTATTCTAACTCATTCCTCTTCGGCAGCTCAGCCTCACCTATACCTGGCCTCTCTCCAGAAAGAAGGCCTGGGGAAGGAGAGGCTGGCCAGCGAGGTCCTCATGGGCTGGACACGTGTGAGTAGACACTTCCTTCTCCCATCTCATGGGGAAAGCAGGGCCTGTTGAGTCCCCAGGCCTAGCAGGTCTCCTTGGAGGTCAGAGTAAGCCACCATGTCCTCCACTCAAGGAATCATTCATTCATCCCCAATCATCCCTCCTCTGTACCCGAGGGAGGTGGGTTGTGTGGGAAGGGACATTCTGGGACACTGCACTGCCCATGCAGAGGGGCACTGGGGCCTCCCCAGCAGGCTCCGGGACTGAGCTGGGACATGTGCAATGCCATAGGACCTTGTGACCTTCAAGGACGTGGCTGTGGAGTTCAGCCAGGAGGAGTGGGCCCTGCTGGACACTTGGCAGAGGACGCTGTACAGTGAGGTGATGCTGGAGAATTGCCGCAACCTGGTCTCTCTGGGTGAGAGGAGCCACGCCCCACATCCATGACACAACTCACCTTTCTCATCTATAGAGGGAGAGTTCACACATTTGAGTTGCTCAGCGATATGCCCGCAGGGTAGACCCCACTGTAACTACAGGACGTTGCCATTGCCCTGCTGTGGTTTCGCTGTGGTCCTCCGCTGGAACCTTTGCTAACCCCTCCTCCTAGAAAACAGTACTGAGGTCCTGGAATGTCGAAGAGGTGAGGCCTCAGAGGCAAGTGTGGTGGGCACAAGCTCAGTAGAGGCACCGGTAGGAGGACTGAGGTGGGAGACTGGCCCCAAGCAGCAAGTCCAAGATCTTACCCAAAACTGGCTCAAGTTGTAGAATTCCTGCCTAGCAAGATTCACACACACACACACACACACACACACTCTCTCTCTCTCTCTCCAGTAGAAGGGGTAGGCATACTGTGAGATGACTGGACAGGGACTGTTTCCTGGCAGTGAGTGGGTCAGGACTCAGGGACCTATTCAGTTTTCTTGGTGGTGGTGGTGGTCATGGGGCTTGAACTCAAGAGCCTGGATACTGTCCCTGAGCTTTCACTCAAGAATAGTGCTCCACACACCAGAATCCTGATCCACAGATAACCTTTTTTCATTATAAAGTACCCAGCCTTGAGCATTTTATTATGTGGGCAGTTAAAGACTAAGACAGCTTTGGGAGAAACTTTCCCACTTGCTAGCACTTCACTGTCCTCTGACTGTGGGCTTGCTGTTCAGAACGCTTTATCAAATAGAGTCACAAAACACAAGAACTTTGTATCTGATTTCTATCACACAACATGCTATTTTAAAGGGTTAACTGATATAGCACATACTCATCGCATTCCTTTTCGTGGTTGATATTATTCCATCATATGGCCATAACATACCAGGCTTACCCATTCTTTGGGGCAGCTGTGAATCTTGAGCACAAGCTTTTGTTTTCCTGCCTTCCCTTCCCTTCCTATGACATCTGTGTTTCACCAGTTTGAGGCACTGGCAGGCTTTTTGGTGGAGGCCACCCCCGCTTTCCTTCCCGTAGCACACAAGAGTTTGTGTCCCCCATCTTCCAATTCCTTCTGATCATGGCCGTCCCAACACAGAAACACACGTAGCATTGTTCTGGCTTGCATTCCCCCATGATGGGTGCCCTAGGATCATCCATATCCTTATTGGCTATTGCAAGGCCTACTGAAGGCAAAGAAGGCAAAGTCTAGTGAACCTGTAGATCAGGAACAGGTTGTCGCTGACTGGGGTGAACCTCTGTGTTTTGTATTGTACTCTCATCTCAGAGTGGAGGAAAGATGGTGGGCACAGGTCATTTACAACATCACCATCAAGTTCTCTGGCCCACATTCTGCTACTTGTTCACCATCCCATTCCTTGCTGCCTACTCTGGGGAAGTTTCCAGACTTCCTGCTTGGAAGGGGGAGGACAGGCTTTGTAGCCCCCACATCACCAACTCTACTGCTGTGGCTATTTCCCAGTCTTGGGCTTGAACTCAGGGCCTGGAAACTATCCCCAAGTTCTTTTGCTCAAGGCTAGTATTGTACCACTTTGAGCCATAGTTCCACTTCCAGGTTTTCTGGTGGTTCACTGGAGATAAGAGGTTAGACTTTTCTGCCCAGGGTTGGCTTTGGACCATGATCCTCAGATCTCAGCCTCCTGAGTAGCTAGGAGTACAGGCATGAGCCACCAGCACCCAGTTGCTGCAGCTTTTCCCAAGTATTTCTCGAGCCCCTGATGTCCCTCTGTTTGTGCATGCCAGAGGAACAGTGGGGGGGGGGGGGAGGGAACTGTGGTCCCCACCTACAGCACTGCCTCATGTCCTCCTCTGTGGACTGGATCTCTTTTTTGCCCTGACTTCCTATTCTTCCTGGCCCACAGTTGAGGACTTGTCCTTGGGCTTTAGCAAGGACTGTGCCTGTCCCATCACCCTGAGTACTGAGTGAAGTAGTACTGAGTCCTGCCTTCTTGGTCCTCAGGAAGGTTCTTACTCTCATTACTATCCAGCAGAACTACTCCCTGCTCTAAAGCCATACTTCCATCCTCCAAATGTCGGCCTGCCCTGCATGGAGATGTTGCCCTGAACCACCTCCCTCCATCGCTTTTTTTCTCTCCATCTGCAGGGTGCCATGTTGATGTGCCCAGCCTGGCTGCCCAGTTGGAACTCTGTCCCCAGGTGGGGACAGAGGAGAGTGGAGTTGTCCAAGACACCTGTGCAGGTAAGCGCCTGCAAGGGACCACACGGGGCGAAGGAGTCAGAACATCCTAGCATCCACTGGGGACCTGTGCTCTTTTCGGATGGAGATGGAAGGAACACAATGGTACGGTGCTTTCAGCTCTCCTCGTCATCTGTGGCTTCTGGGGAGAGGGAGAGGAACAGCTCTCTCCTTCTGGAAGGTTAAGTCCCAGCTTGCAACCTAGGAGCCTTCTTGTCACTCTCTTCGCAAGCTCAGTTTGTTTTGTTTTTTGTTCTTTTTGGTACCAGTACTGGGGCTTGAACTCAGGGCCTAGGCTCTGTCCCTGAGCTTTTCTTGCTCAAGGCTGGCACCCTACCACTTTGAGCCACAGCTCCACTTCTGATTTTCTGGTGGTTAATTAGAGATGAGTGTCAGGAGCTTTCCTGCCCTGGCTGGCTTCTAATCATAATTCTCAAATCTCAGCCTCCTGAATAGCTAGGATTACAAGCATGAGCAACCAAGACTTGTCTTGAGAGACCTTTTTTGGGGGTCAGTCATGGGGCTTGAACTCAGTGCCTGGGCACTGTCCCTGAATTCTTGTGCTCAAGGCTAGTGCTCTATCACTTTGACCCACAGCACCTTCTGGTTTTTGAGTGGTTAATTGGAGATAAGAGTCTCACAGACTTTCCTGCCCAGGATGGCTTTGAACCTTGATCCTCAGATCTGCCTCCTGAGTACCTAGGATTATACGTGTGGGCTACCAGCACCCTGCAAATAGTCATTTAAAAAAGAAGTACCTAAAATCTCCCCTTCATTGCAAATATCCCTGGAAGTAATTTCTCAGAGTGGACCTCACTAATGGGTTCACTCAATCATTTCTTTTTCTCCATCAACCTAAATTCTTTTCATTCTGTTTCAGAGTTGGAGCATGCCCTTCAAGCCAAATGGCTAAGTCCTGAAAAGCATGTTTTTAGAAGACAGCAGTCTAAACGTGGGAAAACAGTAAGACTTAGCATGGATGATCTATGGTTCCCCATAGTAATGTCAAAAGTCAGAAAGAGCTGGGCACCAGTGGCTCACGCCTATAATCCTAACTACTCAGGAGGCTGAGATCTGAGGATTGCGGTTCAAAGCCAGCCCAGGCAGGAAAGTCCATGAGACTCTTATCTCCAATAAACCACTAGAAAACCGGTAGTGGTGCTGTGGCTCAAGCAGTAAAGCGCTCACCTTGAGCTGAAGAGCATAAGGACAGTGCCCAAGCCCAGAGTTCAAGCCCCACGACCGACAAAAAAAAAAAAAAGTCAGAAAGACAAAGTGTGCAGAGTCATTGTGGGAATGTCACATTTATACATGAAAAAGTGGTGTGACACTGGTGATTTTACTAAAGAGTGTGAGCGCCAGACTTCTTCACTGAAGGTTTCCACAAGTAAATATTTTCACTCCTATTTTGGCAGTTTGAAACATACATGGGTCTTAAATCAATTAGAAAATGTCATACTTAAGCAACTTATAGCAAAACTTGTGTGTGCATGTGTGCACATGTGTGTACCCCACGCACAATGATCCTGGGGTTTGAACTCAGACGCTGGATGTTATTCCCTGAGCTTTTTCCCTTTGTTTTTTTTTTTTGGGGGGGGGTGGGGGTGTTTATTGGAAACAAGAATCTCACAGACTTCCCTGCCCAGGCTAGCTTCGAACCACACTCCTCAGATCTCAGCCTCCCCAGTAGCTAAGATAGGCTACTGACGTCAAACATCATTTTAAATTAAAGCTGGGGCTGGGAAGGTGGCTCAGTGGTAGAGTGCTTGCCTTGCATGCATGAGGCCCTGGGTTCGATTCCTCAGCACCACATAAACAGAAAAGGCCAGAGGTGGCGCTGTGGCTCAAGTGGTAGAGCGCTAGCCTTGAGCTGAAGAGCTGAGGGACAGCGCCCAGGCCCAGAGTTCAAGCCCCACAAACAAATAATAATAATAATAAAGAGCCGGGCGCTGGTGGCTCACGCCTGTAATCCTAGCTACTCAGGAGGCTGAGATCTGAGGATCGCAGTTCAAAGCCAGCCCGGGCAGGAGAGACCGTGAGACTCCTATCTCCAATAAACCACCAGAAAACCGGAAGTGGCGCTGTGGCTCAAGTGGTAGAGCACTCGCCTTGAGCTGAAGAGCTGAGGGACAGCGCCCAGGCCCAGAGTTCAAGCCCCACGACCGACCAAAAAAAAATAAAATAAAATAATAATAATAATAAAGCTAATGGCTTCACCAGGACTAGAGCCTTACTCAGGCACCAGAGGGCCCACCAGAGAAAGCATCCATCATCAGTTGGAGGGGAGCGGGGAGCATTCATGTTCTACACCAAGTAGCACAAAATGACAGCCCGCATCCCTTACCCGGCAGGACAGCGGCCATGGCAGGGCGAACGTCAACGAATGCAGCCAGTGTTTTAAGGTGTTCAGCACCAAGTCCAACCTGACCCAGCACCAGCGGACCCACACGGGCGAGAAGCCGTACGGCTGCACCGAGTGCGGCAAGGCCTTCAGCAGCCGCTCGTACCTGACCATCCACCGGCGGATCCACAACGGGGAGAAGCCGTTCGCCTGCCGCCACTGCGGCAAGGCCTTCAGCGACCCGTCGTCGCTGCGGCTGCACGTGCGCATCCACACCGGGGAGAAGCCCTACGCCTGCGGCCAGTGCTCCCACGTCTTCCGCACCAGCTGCAACCTCAAGAGCCACACGCGCACGCACGGCGGGGAGAGCCACCACGAGTGCCGCCAGTGCGGCAAGGCCTTCAGCACCCGGTCCTCGCTGACCGGCCACCGCAGCGTGCACACCGGCGAGAAGCCCTTCGCCTGCCGCCTCTGCGGCAAAGCCTTCCGCAAGAGCTCGTACCTGACGCAGCACGCGCGCACGCACACTGGGGAGAAGCCCTACGCATGCGCGCACTGCGGCAAGGCCTTCAGCAGCAGCTTCTCACTGACGGTGCACAAGCGCACGCACACCGGGGAGAAGCCCTACGCATGCGCCGACTGCGGCAAGGCCTTCAACAACCTCTCGGCGGTCAAGAAGCACGTGCGCACGCACACCGGGGAAAAGCCCTACGCATGCGCGCACTGCGGCAAGGCCTTCACCAGCAACTCCTACCTCTCTGTGCACCAGCGGCTGCATAGCCAGTGGACCTGACCCGTCCTCCCCCCCCCCCCCCGCCCCCACGCAAACACGTACGGGCTCGCGCTGAGCGCGGGCACTCAGGGAGGCTCAGCCAAAGCTCCAGGTCTCCCGGGAGGCGGCCATGGCACGGAGGCCACTGAGGAAGCTGCCGCCGCCTCCTTCATAAGAACGCAGTTCATAGCGCTGCCCCCCACCGCCCAGTCTTGACGCGGCCGGAGGCCACCCACAGGACGAAAGCTTCCGGGAAACACGGCGTCAACGTGATGACATCAAGCCCCCAGCCGCCCGCCGCCGCATCCGGGAAACAGGCCGTGACCATGATGGCGTCAAGCCCTCAGCCGGCTTCCTCCTTTGAACCCATAGACGTGCCCTGCATTCGCTCGGAGGGACCTTGCGTCATCTCTATACAGAGCTTCATCTCGAGGTCACCCTGGTGGGCCCAGACGACGCGGCATAGGAGCCCTGGGACCCAGAGGACAGCAGGAGAGCCTTCCGGGCCGGGGCCCGACGGCGGCCCACCCCCAGCGGGGGCTGGGGACGCAGGCGACCCCCACAGACCCCGCAGTACGCCCAGCCTTCCGGGGTGCACCGTGAGACCACAGGGGCTGCAGGAAGGCTTCGCGTGTCCCCCCGCTTGCAGAGACCCCCGAGCGTCCATTCCAGAGAGGAAACCCCAAAGCCTTCCGTTGTCACCATCGGGGAAACTTGGGAAGGTGAAACAAGGAAAGGCTTCCGCGATGCCCTTTAACATTGAGGAAAGTAGGAACGTTTTCCTGGAGGCCAAACCCCCAAGTGTGCTAATGGGGGGCGTTTTCCTGCATGAGTTTGCACACAAGCCAACCCGGGGGGGGGCGGGCTTCAGCCTCCCCCTTAAGTAATGGTGGAGTAAGTGGGGGTGGAGCAGTCGTCACCAACTTTGATCCGCAGGTTGGACCGGTAGATCACCAATTTCTAGTCTTTGCTTTTGTAAGAACATTTATGCATTTATGTCCATGTCATCTCCCCAAAGTAAGGCTCCTGTTAACATCCCCACAATTTTTATTATAATTTGCTCTAAAGAGCAGTAACATGGTCATCAGAGTTCATTAAAACAAATGCAGCATGGTAACACAAGCCTATAATCCCAGCACTTAGGAGGCCCAGGCAGGGAGATGGAGAGCTTGAGGCCAGCCTGCACTGTTACAGAGCAAGACCTTGTCTCAGGAAGCCAAATTAATGCTAACAACATGCTCTTTAAACTATCAAAAAACTCTATATCCCAAAAGGATTTCTGAACCACTCCTGAGTGCTCTAGTTCATCCTGATGGATGAACTAGCACATACTGGCTGTTCCACACCTGGGAATGATAGACTGGGTGGGTGTGGGTAAGCATATGAGCTAGTGATCTCTCCAGTAATTTCTCTGAAACTGACTTGAGGCCTGGGCTGTGAAGGGATGGGTGTGTGTGTGTTCACACACGCATGCTCCTTTGTGTCATTACTAAGGCTTGAACCCAGGGCCTGAGCGCTCTCCACTCAGGCAGGAAAGTCTGTGAGAATGATCTCCAATGAACCACCCAAAAACCAGAAGTGGAGCTGTGGCTCAGAGTGGTAGAACACTAGCCCTGAGTACAAAAGCTTAGGGACAGCACCCAGTTCCTGAGTTCAAGCCTCAGGACTGGCAAGTCACAGCCTGAACTACGGGCTATTCCTATCAAGCACACTATAATAAAAGGTTGAATCAGGGTTACAGATGAGACTCAGGAATACACTCAGGTAGCTGAGTAGCTGCAAGGGGCTCCATTAAACACCCAAAAGACAAATTGGAGTGGACAACCTCTTAGCACTGCACATGAGAGGAAAGGAATGTAAGCTAGGTGCAGTACCTCATGCCTTTAATCCTAGCTACGCAGAAGGCAGAATAGGAGGATCAAAATTCAAGTCCAGGCAAAAAGTTCTTAGAACCCCCCTCCCATCTCAACCAATAAAAAGCTGGGCACGATGCCTCACACATCTGGCACCCCAATTATGCTGAAAGCCTAAACAGGATTGTAGTCCAGGCTGGCCTGGCCATAAATGTGACAGCCTATTCAAAACAACAAAAGAAAAAGGGTAAGGGGCGTGGCTCAAGCCACAGAACACCTGCCTAGCAAGCCTAAAACCCAGAGTTCAGACTCCAGTATCTCAAAAAAGTAAAAGGCCTGGCACACATTTGGTCTTTCAAAAAAAAAAAAAAGTTCAATAAAGAATAGTTGGAGCTGGGTGTGGTGGCTCACCCCTGTAATCCTAGCTACTCAGGAGGCTGAGAGCTCAGGATCAAGGTTCAAAGCCAGCCTGGGCAAGAAAGTCCATGAGACTCTTATCTCCAATTAACCACTCAGAAAACCAGAAGTAGCATTGCGGCTCAAGTGGTAGATAGCCTTGAACTGAAGAGCTGAGGGACAGCACCCAGGCCCAGAGTTGAAGCCCCATGACCACCACCAACAAAAAAAGAATAGTTGGGATGTGGTGGGATCAAGGTTAATGGCAGGGCTGGCAGCAAAAGACAGACAGGGTGTGATGGCTCATGCCTGCCATCCTAGCTACTCAGGAGGCTGAAATTTGAAGAGCATAGTTCAAAAGCCAGCTTGGGCAGGAAATCCTGAGAGACTCTTATCTCCAATGAACCACCCTCCCGCCCCCTGCAAAAAAAGCCAGAAGTGAAGGTGTGTCTCAAGTGATAGAGCACCAGCCTCGAGTAAAAAAGCTAAGTTAAAAGCCATGGGCAGTGGTTCACGCCTATAATCCTAACTACTCAGGAGGCTGAGATCTGAGAATCTCCATTCAAAGCCAGCCCAGGCAGGAAAAAGTCTGTGAGACTCTTATCTGCAATAAACCACTAGAAAACTGGAAGTGGCACTGTGACTCAAACAATAGAGCACTTGCCTTGAGCTGAAGAGCACAGGGACAGCACCCAAGCCCAGAGTTCAAGCCCCAGAACTGGCACATGTGTGTGCATGGGAATACACACACACAAACACACACATACACACATGACAAGTAAAAATGAGACGTTCTTCCACCATGAACCTTGCCCCCTATCCAGCCTTCACATCAGGTGTCTTCTGAGGGACTGTTTCCATTTTGATGAAAGTTCCAGCCCACTCATCTCAGTTCTCCCTCCTCTCTGACCCTCTCTGCCTGCCTGGCCAGGCTGTCAGCTTTTAAGGCTTCAGCCAACCTCTTTCTGGCTTGGTTTACCTTCTGCATCTGTCTCCGGACATCTGCAGCAGTCACTTGTTGCTTGAAGAGAGGCAGCCGCTGAGGGCCTCCATCTGGGATCACCGCTCTGTGATAGGGAGGCTGGCTTGAGGAGGGCTCTGGGTGAACAGGCCGATTGTCAGCTCCAGCTTGGCCCCATGATTTATCGTCCTGGCTTCCCCAAGACATGATTAATGAGGGATTCACAAAATCAAACGGAGGTAAACGCTGTCCTTCGCTGTCGTAAACCTGCAGGCCCTGAAGTCTCCTGAACCCGCTCAGTTGTTGTGGCTTGGCTAGCTTCCCCAGCACCTCCTCCTCTTCCTGTCTGTATCTGACCTTGCTATCAGGATGGGATGTGATTTTGGTCACAGATCTCTTGAAGACACAACTGGTCATCCTCACAGGTAGGATGGAGGACACCTTGGCTCTCTGCTGGCCCCTGGGGACACGCACGGCCTTCTTCCTCTGCAGAGTCTTAGGTAGGATACTCCTTTTCATGTTCCCCTTTAGCAAACAAAAATTAGGGGGAAAACAAAGGGAGGAGGAAAATGAGTCAGATGGAGGAAGGAGCTTCTCAGTAGCCATGGAAACATTTCCGGTTATCTCAAACCACTGTCCTCTCTCAGTTACCTGGAAAGCTGGTTTACAATTCGGGTTTGTGGAACCCAAGTAAGTTTGGGGGTAGGCATCCCAGAACTTACCACTTCCTAGTTGCCAGCTGTGGCTGCTGCTGCAGCCTTTCCTCCTCCTCCCCTCAGCTCTCCTGGATATCCAATGCATCAAGGTCAAGTGCAAACAATTGTCTACATTTCCAGGAGGAAGTTACTCCCTCCTCTCTTCCCTGTTTGAACATGTAATGATAGCACAATTCCCCCACCTCCACTCCCACCCCCGCTTACTGAGACCCAGAGATCACAGGCTTTCTATGGAGGGATTGATGCCCAATACCTACATTCCTATACAACACAAGCTGGGAACCAGTAGTTCATGCTTGTAATCCTAGCTACTCAGGAGGCTGAGATCTGAGGAACACAGTTCAAAGCCGGCCCAGACAAGAAAGCCTATGAGACTCTTATCTCCAATGAACCAGTAAAAAACTTGAAGTGGAGCTATGGCTCAAGTACTAGAGCACCAGCCTTAAGAGGATAAAGTGCAGGACAGTGCCTAGGTCCTAAGATCAAGCCCCAGTGCTGGCACAAAAATTAAAGATAAAATGGTATGCAACTCACTGAGTTCTTGTTTGCATGGATAAAAGACATCAAACCACAGATTCCCTGAACTCCAAGTCTTGCTTGCAATGTAAATAAAGAAACCAGAACTCAACTACAGTATCATTAAAGAACTAAAGATAACCCTGTGTTGGTGACTTATGGCCTATAATCCCAGCTACTAAGGAAGCTAAGATCTGAGGATTGCAGTTCAAAGCCAGCCTGGGGAGGAAAAGTCTGTGAGACTCTTATTTCCAATAACTACCAAAAAGCCAGAAGTGGAGCAGCGGCTTAAGTAGTAGAGACTTGCCTTGAGTGAATAAAGCTTAGGGACAGTGCCCAGGCCCTGAGTTCAAGCCCCAGAAATTAATTAATTAAAGATCCAAGGATAATCTGGCCCCAAAATCACAGAGATTACATGATTTCAGAGATTATACATTCCAAATACTTAAGCAAAACCAAACCAAAAAAATTACTGAGTGATGACAGCATGTAAGATAGATTTTTGTAAGTACAATTTCTAACTGCCATCTCTTCCAGCACCAGATTCAGGTACCCAGTAGAGCTAATTTAAGTAAGTTACCTCTACCTCTGGAG